CTAATTGGGAACGTGTTTTGTTTGTTTGTTGTTGTTTGTTTATATCATGCAGTTACGTGTTGAGATCTTCTGTTTTTCTAGATTAACAACAATTTCCTTAGCAGTATGAAAATTTCCAAAAAATTTTAAAATTTCGTTAAAATTTTAAAAGATATTTGTATTTGTTGCTAACAAAATTTATTCTTTTTTGTATTTCAAATAAAGTGTTGATGGTTTCTATTGCTAGAAACTTTTCTAAAACTATAATAAGTGCCTGCTAGCCTACTTTCTGTTGTATTTTCGATTTTATATTTTTGATTTTTTATCTAAATTGGGGATCAGCAGAAAGAGTTTTGATGTTTTGTAATTATATATTAAATGTATTACTATTATTGTAATATTGTACTTTTAACTTAGGATTGCAAGAAGGTTTAAACCTTAATTTATTATATACAAATATAGTAATTATTAATAATATTATATTATATAATTATTTTTTTGATAAGGATAGTGATTTTAATATAGTGATTAAGTTGTCATCCTCTAAGTGGCAAGTCTAAGGTTTAAATCCTACTTATAACAAAATTTAAAAATTAATCTATATTACAGAAACTGTTTTTTGTTAATCAGTTGGTCTCATGCAGCTGTAATCCAAGTATACCAAATTAAATTCTATTTATTATTAGAAGCTCAGAGTATTTATATAAACTATAACATTACATATATATAGAGAAATGTTAATAACCAGTATTGTATAAGACTTTGATGCAAACCTATGATAAGACCATCAGATGCAGAAAACTAAAAAACTGAGAAAACAGAATCTTATTTTGAAATTTCTAAATAAAGAAATAGTACAAACTTTTAACAATACTTTTGGATGATAAAAGTCTATAAAACATCTTTATAGGAACAAATAGATAAACTGGATAACAAAAATGTATAGAGGAGCATATGACCAACTAGGCTGTCAGAATCACTAGAGAAAAAAAATACTAAGATATATTATACTGAGCCATCTGGATTGAAAATTTGAAAGTTTTTTAGTTCTAAGTTGTAGCTAGTAGAAGATAATAATAAAAATGTCAGAATGATAAATACTAAGATTTGGGTAAATTTTACAAAGATAAAAATAATGTAACATAGTAATTTAAGATTAGTTCTAACTGCAAATGTTAAGTAACTATAGCATATTATATAAATTAAATTAGCTGTATATAAAATATAAAAAGCTTTAATAATAATGCTTTTGAGAATACATTGCATAAAATAAGATATAAGGTTCTAAAGATATAGATAAGTATCTAGATCTTCTTAACTAACATGTATACTAAAAATAATCTAGTAATACAGTAAGAATTGCAGTACAGAAGATTTAAATAGATAATGCCTTTAGTTGAGTTGCAAATATGATAACTAATATAGAACTATTAGTGAATTACTTAAATTAGACACAAAAAGTATATATGTAGCTGATTGTACTCTCTAATATAAAGGTGACTTTTTGAGACTTTAGCTATAAGTTCCTATATTCTAATTATTAAATAAAAAGCTCCAGTTCCAAAGAGCCTAATTAAATATAAAAAAAAAAAAATTATTGTTTTGCTTTTTTAAAATTTATAATATCTATTAAAAATATTTTAATTATAATTAGATCAATTTTTTGTCACAAGTCTGCTTTGTATTATTATAGATAAAAGCTTTCTTAATTTTTACACTATAATGATGATATAGCACAAGAAATCCCTTATAGATATATGCAGTATTCAAGAAAAAAATATAGCTTCTGTTAGACATTATCAAGAAACTATATCTTTTTCTGAGACAGTTTAGAAAAAATAATGCAATACTAATAATTTTACTTTATTTTACTAAGAGAAGATAAATCTTACCTGTAGGAATTACTCTAAAGAGGGAGTATCAATACAGTTTATAGTCAAAAGCTATTTATTAAAATAATAACAAGAAGGGCTATTCTGAGGTTTCTGTTCTTAAAAAATTCTAAGATGTATTTACAATATTAAAAGAAGAAGGTGTGTTTGTTGCTTAATTGCACTTGAAGAATTTAGCAAGGTTTATATATTTGTGAGCTAAGTAACTAAGCAGCCAAGTACTAAGCATCTAAGCAACTAAGCAACTAAGTAATTACTAAGCAACTAGAAGGTTTTAGCAACTAATAACTAATAATTACTAAGTGACTAATGTCTAAGCAACTAAGTAACTAAGCAACTAAGTAACTAAGTAACTAAGTGACTAAGCAACTAAGCAACTAAGCAACTAAGTGACTAAGCAATTACTAATCAATCAGAAAGTTTTAGCAACTACTAATAATAATACAATAATAAAATAACTAATACAAAATAATAATAATAAAATAAATAATAATAATAATAAATAATAATAATAAAATAATAATAATTTGTTCTATAACATTTTTGTCCTCTTTAAAAATTTACTTTATAAATTCTATGTTTTAATTAATTTAAGAAGTTGAGTGTATTCATCATTTAGTAACTTGATAATATGTATTATGATCATATACTTTAACTGTAAGATTATTTCTCTTGGTTATAATTCAAGAACTTTGTATATTCTGAGAGCATCTTTTTAAATATCTTTTGCTTTTCTTGTTACTTGAGCATTCTAGATAAGGTTTTTAATCTCAAAAGGATTATTGAACTTGAAGATTATTTGTCCCAAGTAGTAGTAAGCTTTAATTTTTTTGTTAAGGTTATGTTAAGTACATTTAGAAGTAGATAAGAACTTTAAGATTTGATTAACTTATTCTTTTCATGTTTCTTTAAAAAAAAAAATAGGTATAATTTAAGTTGTTGGCATTGATGTCTGTTTCAAATCATTTATTATTTGAGCTAAGTAATTAGTATTATTATTTTTCAACTCAGTGAGTACTTTATTAAGTAAAGTTTTGATTAGATAAGATTGTATCTTTTCTAATTATAGAAATTTATCGATATTGAATTTTACAGAAGCTTTTATTATAGAATTTAAGTCAATAATTTTTTTTGGTTTTTTATCATTCTAAAGAATAATATTTTAAGATAATATATCTAAGTGACTTTGAGATGCAGAATCCTGTTTTTAAATTTGAAAAAAATTGTTTAAAATGATTACTATTTCCGGTTGTAGTTTTAAGAATTCTATTTTTAAGAAAATTGTACAATTCGAGAGTCACAGGTTAAATGAATAAATAAAGGATAAATAATAAATAAATAACAGAAAAAAAATCTGCCATTATTCTACCCTATATCTGCCAAATAATAGCAGCATAATAGCAACATAACAGCAGAATAATAGTAAAATAACAGAAGATTTGTTGATATAAGTAACATAACAGTAACATAATAGCAAAATAATAGAACAGTTCTATTATTTTACTTTTAGTTACAAAGACTAAAAGTAAAATAATAGAACTGTTCTATTATTTTGCTATTATGTTACTGTTATGTTACTTATATTAACAAACCTCCTGTTATTTTACTGTTATTCTGCTATTATGCTACTGTTATGCTGTCATTATTTGGCAGATATAAGGTAGAATAATGGCAGATTTTTTTTCTGTTATTTATTTATTATTTACTCTTTATTTATTCATTTGATCTGTGAGTGTTTATATAAATTTCCAAGTATCACAATTTTTGAATAAATTGTAACATTAAAAAATTTGTATAATATTATTGTCTTTTTCTCTAGTTTTAGAAATTTCTTCCAAAATTCCAGTTATTCGATAAGAAAAAAAAGTTTTTATGTTTGTTTTTTATAATATTTAGCAAGACAATTATTATTATAGTACTTTTGCAATGTTTTTTCTTTGTTGTTACAAAGTTTATAGGTACTATTGTTTAATTTTTCTTGAATAATAAAAGGTTTAATTCTTTTATTTTCAAATTTAGCTAATTAAAAATGTTCTATATCTTTTCTAATTATCTATACTTTGTTAGCTATTTTAAATATTTTATGATGAATTTTGGCATCAAAGTATTCTTTCTGTTTTTGTTATGATTTATTGGTCTTTTCTTTTGCATTATTCTGTAATTCAGATAGCTTGTTGATAAGCTCAAATGCTTGGTACAATATGCTATTTTGCAAGTTGTATTCTGTTTTTTTATAAGGTTTGACAAATAGTAAAGCTTTAATTGAAAGAATAGCTTGTTATCTGTATACAAGTTGAAAGAGAGTATATCCAATTGTAGCATGCTTTTTTGTTTGATAAGTAAGCAGTACAGCAAGTATATGTAAATTCTAGTCATCATCTTTTTTTACTTTAATGAATAATTCATATAAGGTTTAATTAAGATATTTAACTATTCTATTTATTTGTATGTAGTATAGTAAAGAGAACTTATGTTTAATAAGAAACTTTTTATATAGAATGCAAACAGTTTCACTAATAAAATTTCTTTCTTGGTTAGAGAGAATAATTTTTGGTGTTCTATGTCAACAAATAATTTCTTCAAAGATAAACTAAGCTAAGGTATTTGCTCCAGTATCAGGTATAGCATGGGCTTTTGGCCATCTTGTTAAATAGTCAGTAGCAACAATAATGTATTAATTATTTTGTTTAGTAATTGGTAAAGGTCCTACTAATTTAATTCCAATTTGTTCAAAAGCTTGTTCTATTTGAATATGGTGAAGAAGTTCAGTTTATTTGTCTTTTAGTCTTTTTTGGCATTCTTTATATGGTTTAACATATTCTTGTACATCACTATATATTTGGTCTCAATAATATAAAGGATTATCAATTAAAACAGCCCTTTTTTACATGTAAATTATTTTGAGTAAATCAGGTTTAAAAAAAATATAATAAACAAGATTTTTGATCTAAAAATAACATTTCACAGTTCTAGAAATTCCAGAATATACTGGTTGATAACTCGTAACTTTAATTTATTTTAGATTAATATTGTTAGTATACGATCGATAAAATTTTCATTATGTTGTGTATATCGTTCTTGTCAGTTTTTTTTGTTTTTTGTTACTACAATGTATAAAAAAAACATTTTCTAGCAAACCTTGTAGACTTTTACTAATTTTTTGGAATTGGTTAGTAAAGAACTTTCTTGTGGACTTTCCTCCTGTCTTTCGATGTTTTTGGAGAACTTTTTTGGAGAATTTTCTTGCAGACTTTCCTCGTCTTTCGACATTTTTGAAGAACTTGCAGACTTTTCTCTTGTCTTTTAGCATTTATTAGTAAGTGAACTTTCTCCTGATCTTTAGACATTTTCTAGTACCTTGTAGACTTTTACTAATCTTCGTAATTGGTTGGTGAACTTTCTCATGGATCTTGTGGTTTTTAGTGTTTTTATGAACTTTCTTGTGAACTTTCCTCTTGTCTTTTAACGTTTTTGGAGAACTTTCTTGGAGAACTTTCTTGCAAACTTTCTTCATCTTTCGATGTTTTTGGAGAACTTGCAGACTTTCCTTTTGTCTTTCAGCATTTATTAGTAAGTGAACTTTCTTCTGATCTTTTAACATTTTCTAGTACCTTGTAGACTTTTACTAATCTTCATAATTGGTTGAACTTTTTCGTGGATCTTTTGTTGTAGAACTTTCTTGTTGTTTTTGGTGGTTTTGAAGAACTTTCTTGTGGACTTTTCTCCTGTCTTTCGATATTTTTGGAGAACTTTCTTGCAGACTTTTTCTTGTCTTTCGGCATTTATTAGTAAGTGAACTTTCTTCTGATCTTTTGATTTTTCTAGTAAACATTGTAGACTTTTACTAATCTTTCGAAATTGGTTAGTGAACTTTCTCGTGGATCTTGTAGTTTTTAGTGTTTTTATGAACTTTTTTGTGGACTTTTCTCCTGTCTTTCAACATTTTGGAGAACTTTCTTGCAGACTTTCCTCTTGTCTTTTGGCATTTATTAGTAAGTAAGCTTTTTTTTATTCTTTTAACATTTTCTAGTGAACATTGTAGACTTTTACTAATTTTTCGGAATTGGTTAGTGAACTCCCTCATGGATCTTTCATTTGTTGAAGAACTTGGATTTTCATGTTTTCGGTGTTTTTGAATTTTCTTGTGGACTTTCCTTCTGTCTTTCGATATTTTTGGAGAACTTGCAGACTTTTCTCTTGCTTTTCTGTGTTTTTTTTTGAAGACTTTTCTTGTAGACTTTTTCTTGTCTTTTCAGCATTTAGTTAGTGAACTTTCTTGGTGAAACCAGAGGAATGTTAACAAGAAAGTCCAACCATTTTCTTGTGAATTTCCCTCTGGTCCTTCAGCATTTTTTTTATATAGGATTCTTTTGTGGATTTCTCTCTGTTCTTTCGGCATTTTTTTTTGAAGAATTTTTTTGTAGGTTTTCCTCTGGTCCTTCAGCAGTCTTCTGGTAAATTTATTGTAGATATTTTGGCATTTTTTTTTTGGAGAATTCTTTTTGTGGATTTCCCTCTAGTTCTTCAGCATTTTTTTGGTGAATTTCTTGTAGATATCCCTTTAGTACTTCGGCGTTTTTCTGGTGAATTTCTTGTAAATTTTCCTCTGATATTTCAGCATTTTTTTTTGAAGAATTTTCTTGTAGATTTTCCTCTGGTCTTTCAGTGGTCTTCTGGTGAATTTCTTGTGAATATTTTGCCTTTTTTTTTGGAGAATTCTTTTTGTGGATTTCCCTCTGGTCCTTCAGCATTTTTCTAGCAAATTACTTGTAAATATCCCTTTAGTCCTTCAGCATTTTTCTGGTGAATTCCTTGTGGATTTTCTTCTGGTACTTCAGAGTTTTTTTTGGAGAATTCTCTTGTGGATTTCCCTCTGGTCCTTCAGCATTTTTTGATGAATTCCTTGTAGATATTCTTATGGTCCTTTGGTGTTTTTTTTTTTGGAGAATTTTCTTGTAAATTTCTCTCTGGTCTTTTGGCATTTTTCTGGCGAATTCCTTATGAATATCCTTCTGGTTTTTTGGTGTTTTTCTGGTGAATTTCATGTGGATTTCCCTTTGGTATTTCAGCATTTTTTTTTTTGGTAAATTCTCTTGTAGATTTTCCTATTGTCTTTCAGCATTTTTCTGGCAAATTCCTTGTGAATATTTCTCTAGTCCTTCGGCATTTTTCTAGTGAATTTCATGTGGATTTCTCTCTAGTGTTTTGACACTTTTTTTGAATTTGAATTATCTTGTGGATTTTCTTTGGTGTTTCTTGCATGTACTTGCAGATGCATACAATGTTTTTGTCAATAAACATGCTTATTAAGATTGTTATTATTGTATTATAGATACAAGTGTGCATAAGTTTTTTTTTAACAATATAAAATTTTAATTAGATTAATTTTTTTCTGCATAAATTGCATTATTATTGTTGTAAATAATATGTTTTGAATTTTATATAATACAATAATAGAATAATAATTAAATTTTGAATGTTGCATATTGTATTGTAATTAAATATATATATAAAAGGGTATGACAACTTAGTAAAGTGGATAAGTTGTCAACCCTCCAAGTGGTAGGTTGTGAGTCAAAACCCACAGATAGCGAAATTTGGATAATCATCTATGTAATACTTGTATTATAGCAACTGTTCCTAATGATTGGGTTAAGATACCTGTAAATATGCTCGCACCAGCATAACTGACAAGTCATGGGCATCTGTGTAACTAGTTACACAGAGGAATGCAAACCAGCATCGGGTGGTGCAAACCCAAAATAAGTCCTTGTGGCCATGTAAATCCATAGAAATTAGAGAACAAGAAGCTCATTTGGAAAGACCCAAGTAGAAAGGTAACATGGATCTTCGACAGTACTACTGTAAAGGCTAGACCTAGGAAACGGATACCAATGTGGAGTATCCAGACAGGCAAAAACCTCTGGGTGGGAGGTACTACCAATCAGGCTGCCAGAAGTTCAACCGAAAGGACCGGAAGAAAAGGATATCAGGCTGGTCTGATATACCAATGGGCTGGTCATAGTCCTACTGGACTATCTGGATTGGGAGTTTGGAGAAAAAGCAGGGGTATACTAGAATATGCTATAAAGTAAGTGCTGGGGTCTGAGTGAACTCTGCAAGGGCAAGCCCTGTTAATGTTCTGTAGATGAATAGGTAGTTAACAGAGGGGCTCCTGGAGCCTTATAGTCAGGTGTCATGCTTTGAAATAATTGTATAACAGCTTGACAGGTATACAGAAGAAAGGCTAAATGTTGGGTTAGATGGCACTTAGGTGTACAGGAACCAGGGCGCTAATTGTCTGGGTGTAGTATAGGAATCAGAGTGTTTAATTAGATAGTCTCCTAGTAGATTATAGGTATGGCAGCTAGTGTAGAACCCTTGGGTGAACTACTTAAATAGGTAACCAAAAGTTACATATGTGGCTAGTTGTACGCTCATCTTGTACATGTAATATATAATGTATTCACTAAAAACACAATAAAGGCATTAGCCGCCATTAACATTGGCCTTAAAACAAAACAAAAAAAAAAATGTATATAATTAGTTATATTGATTAAAATATTTAAATTTTAAATTTTTATTTTGTAAAAATATCTACTTTTTCTTTAAATAAAAATATTTTTGAAGAAACCCCATATAGAAAATACTCAATTACAAGCAGACCTTTCAAATTTACATTCACAATGTTTAGTTCAAGAAGATGATAATTTATTTTTATCAGAATCATCTGAAATTTTAGAAATTACAGAAAATAATCTTTTAGAAAATGAGGTTTGGACTGAAAAAGAGCTTTCAAAATTTAAAAAATTATATTATAAAGAAAAAGATATTATTGAAAAACAAGAAGATGATAATCAAGATTTAGAAAATAAAATAAATTTATTACAAAATAATGATTTTAAAAAATCTTTTAAAAAAGTTTGTTGTGAAAAAAATTGTTTACAAACTCAAGTTGAATATTCTATAGCTTTAAAAAGATATTTAAATTTTAAAAATCTTACTAAATCTTTACAAGATATATATTTATTAGGTATAATTTCTGCTACCAAACGACCAAAAATAATTAAAAATTCAAAGAAATCTAAGCTTATTACAGAATATAGCTTTGAAGGAAAATCAATTTGTAAAAATGCTTTTAAAACAATTTATAGTCTTGGAGATACAAGATGGAAAAATTTAAGAGATCATTTTGTAGAACATGATATAAATTTACGTATTAATTCAAAAACTGGAAAAGTTGGAAATCGAACAATATCTTTTGAAACAGTAATGAAAGTAATTACCTTTATAGGAAATTTTGCTAAACAAAATGGTTTACCATCTCTAGGTAATTTTTAAATTATTTTATTTATAATTATTTTGTTTATTTATAATAATTTTATTTTATTAATACTATAATTAATTTAAAATCTATTATTTTATTTATAATAAATTTAAATTTTATAGGACAAAGTTTTCATGATAATACTATTGCTATTATATATTTACAAGCAGATACTACTTATTTATTTTTACATACTCAATATTTAGAAGCAATTAATACTAATGATCAATTTGAAATTAGTTTAATGACATTTATTAGAATTTGAAAAAAATTTTTACCATGTATCAAAAAATTAACTCCACATAGTGATTTATGTTTAAAATATAAAGATATGAGATTTAATGCAAATTATTAATCAATTGAAGAAAAAGAAACTAAAGTTTTAGAATGGCATAAATATATCAAATGGGTACAAGAAGAATGTGAAAATTATAAGTTTAAATTTATAAAAATTAAATTTGATTAAAATTTTATATTTAATTATTAATTAATTTTTATAAATTATTTAAATAATTTTAATTTTTAATAATTTATTTTATAAAATTATTTTTATTATTAAAAATTTTATTAGAAAATATATTAAAATAGCATATGAAGATATTAAAAAATTTGGAATTAAAAATATAATACGTTCTGGAAAACCAAATTCTTTAGATATTACAGTTCATTTTTCTTGGGATTATGCTCAACAAATTTAATTACCACATTCATCTCAACAAGAAGTAAATAATTTTATTAAATTTATAATAATTTAATTATAAATACTAATAATTATTTATTAATTATTTTATTATTAGGGTGAAATTTATTTTAAATCTTTATACAAAGTTCATTTATTTGGAATATGTGATGATGCATTTCTATGTCAAGTAAATAATAATATTTTTTTATTATATAATTATATTTATATTAATATATTTTATAATTTTAGGTAAATTATCTTATTAAAGAAAGTGAATTAGTTGGTAAAGGAGCAGATACTGTTATTTCTTTAGTTCATAATTATTTTGAATTACATGGATTAGAAGAAAATAAATTAATAATTCATGCAGATAATTGTTCTGAACAAAATAAGAATAATGCAATAATTGCATATTTAGCTTGGAGAGTTTTAACAGGATTACATGATAGTATAACTTATTGTTTCATGGTTGCAGGACATACCAAATTTAGTCCAGATGGATTTTTTGGATTGATAAAAATACTTTTAAGAAAATCTAAAGTAGATAATTTTAATGATCTAATTAATATAATTTAAAATTCAACTCCTGGTAGATATAATATTACACAACCAATTTTTGATGATAAAGGAAATCAAGTTGTACATTTTTATGAATAGACAAATTGGTTAAACCAAAATTTTACAACAATTCCAGAAATATTAAAACAACATTATTTTAAATTTAATAGTTTAGATAAAGTTAAAATTAGTACATCTTCTAATGAAGAAAAAATAACTGTACAAATTGAAAAAATTAGACAAAAAGATAATTTTAATTAATTAATTGAAAAAAAATTACCTGGACTTAGTGCAGAATAACAATGGTATTTATATGAACAAATAAGAACTCATGTACAAAATCCTAACAAAAAAAATAATTTGTGTCCAATGCCTACTATTACTAAATCAGTAAAATTTAAATAAAACTAAAGATTAAATTTTTAATTAAATAAAATTGACAATTAATTACAAAATCATAACCAATAAACCAATTAATTATTAAATTGTTTAATTTAATTATAAGTTGTATAATAATATTAAAAAAAACTAATTTTATTGTAAAATAATATTATAATATAGCACAATAAATAATACAGATTAAAATACAGATTATACAAACAAGAAAAAATTTTTTTAAAAAATTTAAATCTACAAACTAAATACTAAAAAGAAAAAAATTCACACAAAAAATTTTCCAAAAAACATACCAAAATATCAGAAAGAGGAAAACCAACAAAAAATTCACCAGAAAACTGCCAGACAGAAGGAAATCCACAAAATAATTCTCCAAAAAAAAATTCACCAGAAGACCACCAAAGAACCAAAGAAAAATACACAAGAAAATTCTCCAAAAAAAATGCCAAAATACTAGAAAGAAATTCAAATAAAATTTACCAGAAAAATGCCAAAGAACCGGAGGGATATCTATAAGGAATTTGCCAGAAAAATGCCAAAGGACCAGAGAGAAATTCACAAGAGAATTCTCCAAAAAAAAAGACACCAAAGACCAGAAGGATATCCACAAGAAATTCGCCAGAAGATCGCTGAAGGACCAGAGAAAAATCCACAAAAGAATTTTCAAAAAAATGCTGATATACCAAAGGAAAATCTACAAGAAAATTCTCCAAAAGACTGCCAAAGGACCAGAGGAAAATTCACAAGAGAATTCTTTAAAAAAACACTGAAATACCAGAGGGAAATAGACAAGAAATTCGCCAAAAGACCACCAAAGGACCAGAGGAAAATCCACAAGAGAATTCTCTAAAAGAAAATGCTGAAGGACCTGTAGGATATCTACAAGAAATTTGCCAGAAAAGCATTGAAATATCAGAAGGAAATCCACATGAAATTCACCAGAAAAACACTAAAGGACGAAAAGGATATCTACAAAGGATTCGCCAGAAAAAACGCTGAAGGACCAAAGGGAAATCTATATGAAATTCACCAGAAAACGCCGAAGGTCTAAAGGAATATCTACAAGGAATTTACCAGAAGGACCAGAGGGATATCCACAAGGAATTCATCAGAAAAATGCCAAGGAACCAGAGGAAAATCCACATGAAAATTCTCCAAAAAAAAATGCCAAAATATCAGAGGGAAATTCACATGAAATTCACCAGAAAAATGTCAAAGGACCAGAAAGAAATCCACAAAAAAATGGTTAGTGAACTTTCTTGTGAACCTTCCTCTGGTTTCACAAAAAATGCCAAAAGACCAGAGAAAAATCCACAAAAATGTTCACCAACTAAATGCTAAAAAGATAAGAGAAACAACAAGAGGCAAGTCTGCAAGAAAGTTCTCCAAAAACGTCAAAAGACAGGAGAGAAGTCCACAAGAAATCCTTTCAAAACGTCAAAAGACAGAAGGAAACTTCACAAGAAAGTTCTTCAAAAACACTGAAAAGTTCTCCAACAAACAAAAGATCCACAAGAAAAAAAGTTCATTAACCAATTCTGAAAGATTAGTAAAAGTCTACAAGGCTTACTAGAAAAGGTCAAAAGATCAGAAGTTCACTTACTAATAAATGCTGAAAGACAAGAGGAAAGTCAAGAAGTTCTCCAAAAACATCGAAAGACAGGAGAAAAGTCCACAAGACAGTTTTTCAAAACCACCAAAAACAAGAAAATCCACAAGAAAGTTCTTCAACAAATGAAAGATCTATAAGAAAAAAGTTCACTAACCAATTCTGAAAGATTAGTAAAAGTTTACAAGGCTTACTAGAAAAGGTCAAAAGATTAGAAGTTTACTTACTAATAAATGCTAAAAGACAAGAGGAAAGTCTGCAAAAAGTTCTCCAAAAACATCGAAAGACAGGAGGAAAGTCCACAAGACAGTTCTTCAAAACTACTAAAAACAAGAAAATCTACAAGAAAATTCCCCAACAAACAAAAGATCTACAAGAAAGTTCACCAAACAATTCTGAAAGATTAGTAAAAGTCTACAAGCTTTACTAGAAAAGGTTGAAAGATAAGAAAGTTTATTTACTAATAAACGCTGAAAGACAAGAGGAAAGTCTGCAAGAAAGTTCTCCAAAAATGTCGAAAGACAAGAGGGAAGTTTACAAGAAAGTTTTCCAAAAATGTCGAAAGATAGGAGGAAAGTCCATAAGAAAGTTCTTAAATATCGATATTATGTAGTTTTGCAATAATAAATGAAATTTAGTAAACTTTAGTGTTATAAAAAAAAGTCATTACATAAAAATTTTAATGTATGTTTATTGATAATCTAGGTGATCTTCGTTTCTATAGTATTCTAGTTGATCTAGAAATCTTATATTTCTATTTTTAGATTTTGTTGTTTTTCAATTTTTTTTTACTTTTTTGTAATTTACAAATCTTTTTATTATATAATTTGGTCTTGTGATTTGGTAAATCTTTTTGTCAAATATATACATATTAGAAAATCAAAAAAACTCAATTTTTTTAAAAAAGTAAAAAAGGGCTGTTTTAATTGATAATGCCACATATGTTCAGTTATTTTATAATATATAGCATTTGTTTCTACTTTATTCTATTTGATAACATGAAAAGGATACTGAGAGATCTTTTTGTTTTTTTTGTATAATAATCCTTTCTTAGTAATAAATATCCAACATAATATTGTATTTGTTTAATTTGTTTCTGTAATAGAGAGTTAGATAACTTGTTAGATTCTATATAATTATATAAATTATAATAGAGGTCTAGATTCATAAGAAAGAGTTTTGGTATGAGATCTGTGTCTGAAGTTAAGATAGGACATCTACATTGAAGTAAACTCTTCTTGGTTTATGAATAATTTTAAAATTATAGGGCTGAAGTTTTAGAATCTATCTCTCTAAGCATTCTTTAGGTTTAGCAGATTGTAACTACTTAAAAGTGGAGTGGTCAATAATCAAGATGAATTTGGCAGTTTTAAGATATTTATAAAAATATTCAATAGTCTATACAACTGCAACATATTCAAGTTTAATAGCACCATAGTTGACTTCTTCTTTAATTAAACTTTTACTTACATAAGCTATAAGGTGTTTCTTTTTGTTTTTATTTAATTAACTAAGAGTAGCTTTGAATCTATAATGAGAGGCATTAGTAGCTAAGATAAATAGTCTATTAAAGTTAGAATACTTTAATATAAAGACTGTAGTAAGTCTCTGTTTCAATTATTTAAAAGCTTTCTATTGTGGTTTATTTTATATATAAGGAGTTTCTTTAGATAATAGCTAGTTTAAAAGCTATGCTACTTTAGAGAAGTTATAGATAAACTGTTAATAGTAATCTACTAGTTCTAAGAATGAATGTAGTTGAGTTATATTATTAGGTAATTAAATTTTCTAAACAGCTTCTATCTTTTGTAAATCAGATGCTATTCTAATAAAAGTAACTATATGTCCTAAGAATAGTAAACTTTGTATTCAAAAGTTATATTTTTCTAAATCAATCATAAACCAGCTTTTCTGATTCTAATAAAAGTTTGTTATAAATGTTTTAAATATTCATTAAAGGTCTTAGAGTATACTATAGTATCATCAAAATAGACTACTACAAATTTCTATACAATGTCTTGGTATACTTTATTCATTAATAATTGAAAGATTGCAGGTGCATTACATAGTTCAAAGGGCATTATATTAAACTCATAAATACTATATTGAGTTACAAAAGCAGTTTTATATGAAGGACCAAGTTAATGACAGCCAGACCCAACATACAGGGCAGGCTATAGCACTCTCTACAGCTGTGCAAGCCGAGCTTCAAACAGTGAACGATTCTGTAGAAAACAATTCAACCCTTCAAGTTTCTGCCTTCAACACTTCACCTTTTGCAGAAACAAACACATGTTACAACAAATTTCTACAATTACACAATCTACCTATCATAAATAATCCTATAATACTTGAAAACTTCCTATTCTATCTTCGAAAACACTTTTTCAAAAATAGCTTTAAAATATCTATCAATCAAAACAAAACTGAATTACATATATACACTAACCTCTTTGATTCTATTTTGCATGAACATTATACTATTCAACCTTTCCAATATGAAATATACAAACATCTACCCTTACTAACAACACCTAACAATACATCA